ATGAGGATGATGAGTGGTGGTGAAGATGAGTGGTGAAGAGGATGATGATTGATTGTGGGTGGTGGTGGCGATGATGATGTTTGAATGAGGATGATGCCGATACCGATGATGACGATGATGTTCGTGAGCGTGTGAGAGAGTGCGAGTGATGATGATGTGTGTGTGAATGAGTGCGAGGAGAAGAGGGGGTGAGTGAGATCTCTCTCCTGCGCGGGGGTGTGCAGAGAAAACAAGAACCCCACTTTGGATGTGGGGGAAAAGAAGTCGGAACCTTCCGTGCCGGAGTAATATCCAAATCGTCCTGAAATCGAATCGCATTGAATATTTTGTTTTCGAATCCGCTTCAGAAAAAAAAAAGGATCCTATGATTTTTTTAGAATGGATCCTGCCGAGACCCGTTCCAAACGAAAATGGTATTGAAACCGCTTCCAAGAAGAATCCTATTCAAATCGCTTGCACAAAAAAAACCGCTTCGAATCGCTTACACAAAGAATCCGGTTGAAATCGCCTACGGAAAAGAATGCGATTGAACTCCTTTTCGAAAAGAAACCTGCTGGAATCCGCTTTTAAGGAAACCCTTTTGACATCCAGATCAGAAGGCATCCTTATCAAATCGCTTCGAAAAGGGATCCTTTTGATCACTCCCCACAAAGAATCCTACTCAAATCGCTTACACAAGGAATCCTAGCCACATCGCTTACAACAGGAATCTTCATACAATCGCTTACAACAGGAATCCTCTTCAAAAAAGATCATCTGGAAACCCAAACCAAAAAGAATCCGATTCAAATAGCTTACACACGGAATCCGATCTAAACCGCTTACAAAACGAATCGTATTTAAATCTCCGACACAAGGGTTTCTCTTGAAAGCTTGACAGGCGGTCACCGCGAGAACGAAAAGAGCGAAAAAAAAAGAAACAGGGAACAAGGGACAAACTTGTATTTTCTCAACGAGAAAGAAAGGGAAGTCGGAGCGCAGCCAGAACAACGGAAATGCTGAAAATTGAAATCCTGGCTCGGCTCCAGAAGAATCATTTTGAAACCTGTTACAAAAGGATTTCTATTAAAATCGCTTACATCAGGCATCCTCTTGATTGCTTTACAGAAGGAATCATCCTCAAATCGCTTACAAAAGGAATCCTATTCAAATCGCTTACGAAAGAAATCCTATTCAAATCGCCCACAAAAGGAAATTGATTGAAATCCTTTACGGAAAAAAAAAAACATATTGAAATCTCCTTCAAGGGTACTCCTTTTGAAATCAGATCCGAAAGGGATCCTATTCAAATCGCGTACACAAGGAATCCGAGTCAAGAATCCCCTGCAACAGGATTTCTATTGAAAGCATGACAGGTGGCCGCCGCGGGAACGAACAGAGCGAAAAACAGTGAAACAAACGTAGGAAAGGAGAGAAATCAGCATTTTAACTAGAAAAAACACAAAGAAAACATCGGGGCGCAGCCAGAAAAGAAACGGGAACATTGAAGAACACTGTGATTCTGTTCGCCGCAAGAGGAAACTTCGTACACCCGCCACATCGGATCTCTTTTGTAAGCGATTTGAACAGGATTATGTTTGTAAGCGATGTCACTAGGATTCATTTTGCAAGCGATTTGCATCGGATTTCTTGCGTAAGCGATTTGAGCAGGATTCATGTTGTAGAACACTTAAAAGGATTCCTTGTGTAAGCGATTTGAATAGAAAACCCACTGTAACAAGTTTCAGAAGAATTCCTTCTGAGCCGAGCCAGAAACGCAATTGTCTTAAGTTGTCCCTTTTCTTTTTTGGCTGCGCTCCGATGGTTCTGCCTTTCTCCCTGCGAAACCTCTTCCCTGCCTTTTTCCCTTTCCTGCCCCGAAACTTCCTTTTTTCTTTCCCTTTTCCCTGCGAAACTTCTCCCTTCCTTTTTTCTTTCCTTTTTCTCCCTTTCCTTTGCCTTTCTTTCCTTTTTCCCTGCGAAACTTCTCCCTTCCTCCGATGGTTCTGCCTTTTTCCCTGCCATTTTCCCTTTTCTGATGTGTTGGGCCCCTTCTTTCCTTCTGCTCCGCTCCGTTCGCTCCCGCGGCAGCCACCTGTCAGGCTTTCCATAGAAATCCTGTTGCAGGAGTCTTGAATCGGATTCCTTGTGCAAGCGATTTGAACAGGAATCCTTTTGATTTGGGTTTCAAATCGATTCCCTTTGAAGGGGAGATCAATAGGCTGTCTTTTGAAAAGGGTTTCAATGGGATTCTTTTTTTTAGGCGATTCTAAAAGGATCCCTTTTGAAAGCAAGCTGGAAAGGATTCCTTTTAATCTGGGTTTCAATCGGATTCTTTTGAAAACAATTCAACAGCGGTTTGAATAGGATTCCTTTGTTAGCGGCATGTGCAGGAACCTTTTGTAAATAAATGGGGCTCATTCTGTATACGATGTTAACATGTATTATACATGCATGCCACAACGCAAAGCTTAGCCATGCATCCCGCAAAGCGCATCCCCACAATCCACCGTACTCTCAAACTAGCGATAAGGATATTGAGATCGATTGTGAGATCGATCGTGGGATCGATGAAAAGGACGACTATAAGGTTGATCGTGAGACTGATAGTGAAGTCGATCCTATGAGATCGATAGTGAGATCCATCGTGAGATCGACTGTGATGTCGATAGTGAGATCGATTGCGAGATCGATAATGAGATCGACTGTGAGATCGATCGAGAAATGGGTAATGGGATCCATGGCGAGACCGAGCGATAAGAAGATCGACCAAGAACCCAGAAACCTGGGAACCCCGGCGCCCACCGAAATCGGCCCAACATCCGGAACCAGGGACCTGGAAATCTGGCCGGGAAACAATAACGGGAAACCCGGGAACCCGGAACCGGGAACCCGGGAACCCAGCCTGCTGCCAAAATCGGCGGGAACTTTTCGCCAAATCTTTCAACTCCCGCTAGGACCCTTTCAGTGCAAGCACTGGATAGTGAGATCGATTGTAAGGTCGTTAGTGAAATCGATAATGTGATCGGTAAAGAAATTTGTAATGGGATCGATGGCGAGACCGATCGATAAGATCAACCAAGAACCCAGAAACCTGGGAACCCCGCCGCCCACCGAAATCAGCCCGGAATCTGGAACCAGGAACCTGGGAACCGGGGAACCTGGAACAGGGAGCCCGGGAACCCAGCGTGCATCCACAATCGGCGGGAAACTTTCGCCAAATCTTTCAACTTCCGCTAGGACCCTTCCGGTGCAAGCACTCATTGGGGAATAGAGAGATGGGGAATGGGATCGATGGCGAGACCGATCGATAAGAAGATCTACCAGGAACCCGGAAAACTGGGAACCCCACCGCCCACCGAAATCGGCCCGGAATCAGGAACCTGCAGGAACCTGACCCGGGAACCCGGAACCGGGAACCCGGGGTCCCAGCGCGCGACCAAAATCGGCAGGAAACTTTCGCCAAATCTTTCAATTACACCTGAGAAAACCCCAATCAGTGGATGATTTGAAAATTGATACTATGGATCTTGAGATCGATTGTGAGATCGATAACGAGATCGATAGTGGAATCGATAGTGAGAGCGATTGTAAGGTCGATCGTGAGACCGAGAGTGAAATCGATTCAATGAGATCGATGGTGAGATCGATCGCGAGATCGCTCATGCGATCTCTAGTGAGATCGCTTCTGAGATTGATAATGAGATCGATTGTGAGATCGATGGTGAGATCAATCGAGAAGTCGGTAATGAGATCGATGTTGAGACCGATCGATAAGAAGGTCGACCAGGAACCCGGGAACCCAAGAACCTCGCCACCCTCAGAAATCGGCCAGGAACCCGAAACTGGGAACCCGGGAACCCCGAACCCAGCGTGCGACCAAAATCGGCGGGAAACTTTCGCCAAATCCTTCAACATCCGTGAGGACCCCTTCAATGCAAGCACTGATTGGGGAACTTCCGCTAGGACCCCTTCAGTGCAAGCACTGATTGGAGAACTTGCATCGCCAAAATATCTCCTCTCAACATGGGCGTCTCGCTGTCGAAATTGCGAAATGCGCAGGTCAATATCTTGGGCACGGAGCGGATCGAGCGCGAGCGAACGAAGTGTCGCTCGACTCTCGCCCCAGCGACGTGCAAGTTCCCCCTGGGAGATACGCTTCCGCCTGGGCACGGCGCAGCAGCGAAACCCGCCAGATCCTCGGAGGCGGGGCCGCGCGCGAAAGAACCACACGCCACTGTCGCCTGCGCGCCGCGCCTTGTGACAACAGGAGGGAGGGTGGGTACGGGCGGGGCCCTCTGTGCTGCTCGAGCAAGCTATTGTGATCACTCTTCATTCGCGCTACCTCGTTCTACCCTATCACATCGCTGGCCGATTGGATGCCGGACCCCCCATCCGACCCGTGCGTTTTGCAGAATGCAGCGTCTACTTGTTCGGCTTCGGCACAAATAATATGATTGTGTCCCTCCTCCTCGTCCTCCTCCTCCTCCTCCTCCTCATCTAACTACTTATCCTTCTGGTAAAGTTGATGTCCGCAGTGCTGGTGGATTTGATGCATTGTGTCCCTCCCCCCCTCCTCCCCCTCCCCCTCCTCCCCCTCCCCCTCTTCCCCCTCCTCCTCCTCCTCCTCCTCCAACTCCTCCTGCTGCTCCTCCTCCTCCTCCTCTCCTCCTCCTCCCTCCTCCTCCTCCCTCCTCCTCCTCCTCCTCCTCCTCCTCCTCCTCCTCCTCCTACTCCTCCTCCTCCTCCTCCTCCTCCTCCTCATCCTTCTCCTCCTCCTCCTCCTCCCTCCTCCTCCTCCTCCCCTCTTCCTCCTCCTCCTCCTCCTCCTCCTTCTCTCCCTCCTCCTCCTCCTCCTCCTCTCCTCCTCCTCCTCCTCCCCGTCCTCCTCCCCCTTCCTCCCCTCCTCCTCCCTCCTTCCTCCTCCTCTCCTCCTCCTCCTCCTCCGCCTCCTCCACCTCCCCCTCCTCCTCCTCCTCTTCCTCCTCCTCCTTCTCCTCCTCCTCCTCCTCCTCTTCCTCCTCCTCATCGCCCGCCCCAGCGTGCGCGGGGCGCGGCGCCGCCGCCTCAGCGACCGGGTCTCAGGGTGCTCCTGCCTAGCCGGGCCGCCGTCCCCGACGCGGACCGGACGAGGCCGGGCTCGTTGCCGCTCTCGCTCATCAGCGTGTCGTGGTTCCGCTTCAGGTCGCGGTCCGTGGGCCTCGCGGGGGAGGGGGATCGCCAGGGTCAGGTCGGGCATGTCCCCCTACAGCAGGCGGATGTTGGAAACAAATAAAATGTCCCCAGACTAAGTTGTTTGGGTATGTTTGACTATTTCCTCCTGTCGAGGGACATGCCCGACTTCAGCCTCGCGTGATGGGCAACGCTAGGGGGGGGGACCGGCATACAAGGCGGGGAAGCATCGCCATGGAAAATCGGCGATATATATATATATATATATATATATATATATATATATATCGCGCCGATAGATCGGCGATGTGTAGGCCCCCGATGGCGCATCCGCACGTTCCTGGGAGGTTAATGGGGCTCTCAGAGCCCCATCGGCGATCCTGGGCGATTGGGGATCGATGCGTCCACCCATGTGCAGGAGAGCCCAGAGTCGAATCGATAAGTCGGATCGGAGATCGACATGTTTCGGATCGGCAGAGATCGGCAGCCGAGTCGGGAGAAGCCGAATCGGCGGCAATCGGCAGGCCAGCAGGCCTCCGTTGAGACATCGGAGCCCGAATCGGAATCCGCAGACGAGTCGACCCGGCATCGGAAGCCATCGACATCGAACCGAATCGAATCGGAAGCACCGAAACGAGCTCTGCCTGTGCCCACTCCCCCCCCTACCGTTGCCAAGGGTCGCGGGGGAGCAGCGGGCGGCACCGGGCGGAAGCGGGAGTGCGTACGTGTGCGCGTGCGCGTGCGCGTGCGCGTGCGCGGGCGTGCGCGTGTGCGTGCGCGTGCGCGTGTTTGCGTATGCGTATGCGTGTGCGCGTGCGCGTGCGCGTGCGCGTGCGCGTGCGCGTGCGCGTGCGCGTGCGCGTGCGCGTGCGCGTGCGCGTGCGCGTGCGTGCGTGCGTGCGTGGGTGCGTGTGTGTGTGTGTGTGTGTGTGTGTGTGTGTGTGTGTGTGTGTGTGTGTGTGTGTGTGTGTGTGTGTGTGTGTGTGTGTGTGTGTGTGTGTGTGTGTGTGTGTCCCCGCCCCCCGCCCCGGCGCCCGCCCGCCGCCGCCTGGCCCTGCTCTGAGCGGGCCCGGCGTCCTCTCGCTCCCGCCCGCGCAGGGCTTCTCTTCTCTTCCTCCCGTGCATCGCGGCCTAGTTCGCATTCTGCGCGTCCCACGAATGCCACTTCGCCAGAGCAGTCCCTCTGCCAAAAGTGTGTGTGTGTGTGTGTGCGTGTGTGTGTGTGTGTGTGTGTGTGTGTGTGTCCCCGGGTTCCCCAGCATGGCCGGCTGGCCCGCCAGGGGGAGAGACACCTGCAGAGGGAGTGGGGGGGCGGGGGAGCAGGAGGGCGAGCAGGCGAAGGGAGCGGGAGGGGGCGGGGGCGGAAGGACCTGCTCATCCCGCTTATGCCTCTCTCCCTCTCTCTTTCTCTCTCTCTCTCTCTTTCTATGTCTCTGGTTATCTCTCTTTTTCTATCGTTGTCTTTGTTTATGTCTCTCTCTCTGTTTTTAATGTTCGTCCTTCTCTATCTCTCTCTCTCTCTCTCTCATTCTGTATATTTGCTAGGAACCAGAACCACGGGCGCGTGTGGTGCGAGCTTAGTGCAAAGCCCAGGACGAACATAGGATCCGCGGTGAGACGATGGAGGAGGGAAAGGCTGAGGGAGCCACACGGGCGGAGAACGCAGGAGCAGTCCGGGCAGATGGAGGCAGGAAGGTGGGCGGAGACGGGCGAGGAGGGGGGGGAGGCGAGGGGCCTGAAGACGGGGACGAGCACAGGCGGCAGGGTGCCGGGAGGCACGAGCGGGGCAGCAGGGGCGACGGAGGCAGCGGGGGCGAGGGAGCCACCGAGCGAGGAGGTGGCGGCAGGAGGACGTCGAGGAGCGGAGGAGGCCCCCCGCGCTCCTCCTGCTTGGGCCTGGTGCCCGGAGCTGCCCCCCCCCCGGGGGCTGGCCGTGGCCCCTCGCGGGGGCCCATCTGGGGGGGGCTGCTGCCTGGGCTCCCGGCGTGGCCCCGCGGGCGCCTTCCTAGGGAGCCTCCGGGATCCACAGGTGTGCTCCTTCGCGCCTCTCGGCGGTGGACGAACCACCTCCCTTTCGTAGACCTCCCCTTAGCGAAAACGGCCTGGGGCCAAAACCGACGGTCCCGGACCCGCAAGAAGGACGGCCGCGACGCCCCCTCGCGAACCGAAAACGGCCAATTCCTGAATCGACGTGTCAGGGCAGGAGGTCTGTCCACCCCCGACTCTGTGGGACCTCCTTTGGGCCATCTGGGATCGGCCGAAGGCTCTCGGGGGCTCCCTGGGGGGCCCTCTGGAGCGCCTCTTCGGGCACGTACGGAGGCCTCGTGGGAGCCCCGCTGGGGGTGTCGTGGGATCCTCTGGCGGCCCACTGGCACGTCTTGGGGTGCTGGCAAGCAACCCGAATACGTCTTTGGCGGCCTCCATTGCATGATGGAAGCACTTTCTTTTTGTTGGCTGGTGCGGGATTCGTGACAGGTTGGGCCCGAACGCAAGATTGGGAAACGAATTCGTTTCCAGCGGCGGCCACTGCTGAAGGGGGGAGGACGGGCTTCACTGCCCGCCAAGAGCTTCGGGGGGGCATCATTGAGTTTCGTCGGGCAAGTCCTCCTACAGGGGGATTTTGGACGAAACGCAACGTAGTCAGACAACACTCCAAAACTGCAAGAAAACAGTCAAACGATCGTCCCTTGACCAATCTTTGACAATTGTTTTGCATATTCCTCCTGCAGAGGGACAGGCCCGACTTCACATGAAAGACATCCGTCGCTCAAGGCCCTTGGACTTTTCTCTCTTGGCAGCCTCGGAGTTGCCCCTCCGTGCTGAGACGCTGGAGGCCCTCGCGAGGGCACGCCCGGTGAACGCCCGTGGAGCCCGCAGGCCACGAGGGGCCACACGCGAAGCGGAGGCCGCGAAGTCCACCCTGAAGGGGCCCTGGGGCACACAAATGAATACACACACACATCAAAGGATTCCCCAATATTTTCCCATACTTTCCTGGTTTTTGTCTTCCCCCCCCACTTCCCATATTTTCCTATATTTTCCTGGGGGTGGACGGTTAATTGTGTCTGCGTGTTGTTTCCCCTCCTGAAGCCCGTGGAAGGACGCACGACAGGGCTGGACCTAAGCGTTGCCTTTCGTTTCGTTTTCGTGTTCGTGTTGTTGTTCGTTTTGCCTTGCCTGTTTTCCTGCACCTCCCTGCCAGAACAAAAAAACAGCAGTCAACCCGTAAGATAAGGACGCACGACGAGGATGCAGGAGCCTTGGACAGGGGCGGCGCGGGAGGCGCCGCCAAGGGGCCCCAACGCCGATCCGAGAAGTCCGCGCGGACCTTCGAGTTATTCTGTTCATGTCATTGTTCTTGCCCTAACTTTGCGAGCGGGGATGCGGCCAGCGAAAGCGGCCAGGGATGGGTCGAAGGGGAAGGATGCAAGGCGAACCTGGGAAAGCCACTCATCCTCACCGTGCTGGTTGATGACAACCTGAGGACGAACCCCACGAGCGAAACTAGACACGGCGACTGAACCGGCAATCCGCAAACGACGCGGCCGTTCGAACAGAACCAATTGGAACCGGATGGCCCCTCGTAGCCCCCTGCGCTTCACAGCGCCATCCGCACGCCCCAGCACCCCTGGGTGCTGACTCCCGGGCACACCGGGTGCACTGAACTCCGTGGCAGCTCTCTTGGGCCCTCTTGCGGCCCTCTTGGGCTCGCTGAAAAGGCTCGCGCGCGGGCCCTTTCTCGGCAAGCTGGGGGCAATATGGCAGGCCTCGTGGGCCATCGGGGATGCTCTGAGGACCAAGAGCGTGAGGCAAATTAAATCCGTGACTAAGAAATCACTGAGTTTTGACAGTGGGCAGCCTTTGAGGCGTCGTCCTGGGGTCCCGCCTAGGTTCTAGCGAGACTCTTCGATCCTCTCGGCGCCGTCTTGGGCCATCTTGGTGCTACCTTGGCCTTCTTGGAGGCGTGTAGGGTCCCCGTGGGACCGTTTTGAAGATCTTCCCAGGCCCTCTTGGACCCTCTTGGGGTCTCGAGGGCCAGCTTAGGACCCACCGAGGCACGTTTGGCCCCGCATTGGGCGAACCTGGATGCCTCTGGGGCTGCCGTGCGCGCTACGAAGACTCAGAGGGCGGGACACAGGTGCAATACTTTGAAACCCTACGATTAGGGTGTGTCCTGCTGCAGGCGGATCTGGACGAACAATCAAACACGGTCGAAACAACATCCAAACAATACTCAAACAAATAATACATAGAAAAGCCGTCCCCTACTTTTGAATATACTCCTCTTGTAGAGGGGCACGTCTTACCAGCCTCGAAAATATCCCTATCCCTAAGATCGAAACGCCAAAAGGCGATGACAATCTTAGGGATTCGCCCTCAAAAAATAAGGGAATCCCTAAGATCGGCATCGTGATGAGGAGATGCCCAGCATAGGGACAGGGATATGTTCCAGGCTGGTAAACGTCCGACTTACTCCTACGACGAGCCGACACGTCGTTCGTGTCAGGGACCCCTGGAGCCATCTCCGGGGAACGGCTTCGGCCCTCCCCCGGGCTCTCTTGGCCCTTCTGTAGCGCCTACCTTCAAGTCGGGCGCGTCCCTCCACAGGAGGAAGATTCCCAAACAGTCAGGAAGTAGTATGGGGACTATACTTTGACTAGGTTTGGCTATGTTTTTGGATGTTTTGTTGCCTATGTTTCGTCTTCTTCCAAAACCCCCCTGTGGGAGGACATGCCCGACCTGAGCCTACCATGGCCACCTTGGATGTTTCTTCGGGCTCCCGCAGGCCCCCCCCGGGAAAGTCCTGGGCTCGCCGCTCCGGCGCCCAAGGATCCCCCCGCCGCGGAGACCCCTCCAGCCTTCTTGGGCTAGCATTCGGCCCTCCCGGGGCCCTCCTGGGGCCCTCGTGCGCGCCGCGACTTGGAGAAGCCCTCCGGGGGGGTCTCTTGGAGATCCTTCTTCAGGGTCCTGGGGGGACTGGTGGAGGAGGCCCCCTCAACACCGGCAGCGACGAAGGCAGAATCGAGACGGAGAGAGCCGGACCGATACGAATCGGACCGGGTTTGCAGGATGTCTCGGGCGCCGCGGCCGTTTCAGAGCATGCCGGAACGCCCTGGAACGGTAATTATTCATCTCGATTCTGGGCCCGACCGACGGACATCACCCCAGACATGCGACATCCTGATTTATGCAGGACGGGGCCCCTGGAATCCCAGGGACCCCGTTCCCCGGGAGCGGGTTTCCATCCTGCGTCGTGTGTTGACGCTCCCGAGGCCCGGCGAGGGCGCCCCGAGGCCGAGACTGAACGGACTTCACGAGGATCCGAGCGTGAGGCTCGGCGCGCGCCCCAAACCAGTCAGAGCCTCGCGCGGTGCGGCCGGCCGGCGCGGGGCCTCTCGTTCGCGTCCATGTTGCCTGGGCCGGGCGAAGCGCGGGGGAGGCAGCGGAGGGGGGGCGGCCTCGGGGGCGGGGCGGGGGGGGGGAAACCAGGCTGCTGCTGCTGCTGCTGCTGCTGCTGCTGCTGCTGCTGCTGCTGCTGCTGCTGCTGCTGCTGCTGCTGCTGCTGCTGCTGCTGCTGCTCATTCCGATGACGCGGGGTAGGCGGCGGAGGGGGGCGGCCTCGGAGGAGGGGCGGGGGAAGGAGGGGATGGTGGTGCTGCTGCTGCTGCTGCTGAGGCTCATTCCGATGACGGACAGGACCCGACGGTGATGCTGACGGTGCTGATGGTGATGGTGCCGGCGATGCCGATTCGGATGGTGACCAGGACCTCGGCGGATCAAAAGATCCACACCATGAGAGGAACGGGCCCCGATGGAAACGTGTCCTGGACCCCGGGGCCTTCCCCAAGAGGACGAGCCTTCATCCTGAGTCGCGAGGGATCGACTGACCCCGGTCAATCCAAGCCCGGGTCGGCCAGGCTGATCCTGCAGCATCCTGCAAGATCCTGCGCCCTATAGTCGACCCGGGTCAGCGCACAAACCCGCTCTGCGCCCTGGCGGGCCCCCACGCTTGCATCGACCCCCCCGCCCTCGAGCCCCGCCTGCGTCGCTCCCCGACAGCCCAGCAGGGGCCCGTGGCGCACCCCGGGAGGACCCGCGGGCTGCCGGTTCGCACCGACCGCCTGCCGCGCTCGGCCGCCGCCGCCGGGCGCCGCCGGGGTCGCCGCGCCCCCGCCGCGCGAGGAGCCGTGCCAGACGCGCGGCCCGCCGCCCGCCGCGGGAGGCGGCAGGCGACGAGCAGAGCCAGGCATCGGAGCACGGTCGCACGGGGGCGCTGCAGCGGAGAGGGCGCAACGGGGGCGTGCCGCCGTGGCCGAGCCGGTCGTCGTCCACCGAGCAGCAGCCACTCGACCTCCGGATCTTGGATGCGGCTGGGGGGTTGAGCTGGTCGGGACCCCAATCCCCGGGGTCCTCCTGGGGTCCTCCTGGTACACTTGTTCACCCTGGAGCCGTCTCTGACGTTTCCCGGGCCCGAGAACAGCCCCTGAAGGCCGACAAGGATTCAACACACACACACAGACACACAGACACACAGACACACAGACACACAGACACACACACACACACACACACACACACACACACACTTCCCGAACCCAGAACCTCCCACCTGCCCTCCTGTCCTGCTGGCTGGCACCAGTGCTGGGCCACCTCGCACCCCAGCAAGGCTCCCATCGGGACCCCCAGGCTACCAAAGGCCTCGAGGCCTCGGACCCGGGAGGCTGGCACCCGCGGTCGTGCGGCATCCTCCTCCCTCCGCCTGTGGGGAGCCCTTCGCCTTCCCCACGGGCTCGCAGCGCACGAGCACACAGGCTGCCTCCGCCTGCCCTCTGGACGCGCAGCAGTCGCACCCCTGGCAGCCGCCCCCCGCCCCCCGCGCGCAGCCCGTGGCCTCTCGCCGCCTCGGGCGGGCTCGGGCCGCCCCTCGCCGCGGGCAGGACGCGTGCCCACACAGCACGCGCTGCGTCCTGGGGTCTCGGGCCCCCCTCCCCGGGGCGGCCGGAGCGCGGCGGATCTGGACGAGCCTCTCGCTTCTCCGCGCCCTCCGCGCCTCGGCTTCCCATGGTGCCTCCCGGAGAATGCCAAGAAGCGCTGGGTGCGGGTGTACATCTTGCCCGCGCTGCCGGCTCGGCCGCGCCTCGGGCCCCCTTCCGCGGCCGCTCCGCCACCTCTCCTGCCGCCGCTCCCCGCCTCGGCCGCCTCGGCCGCCGCCCGAGGCTGCCGAGCTGGGCGGCACCGCAGTCCCAGCAGGGCCAAGGGGCGGCCGCAGCGGCCGAGAGCCCAGCCGGGGCCGCAACAGCCGGGGGCGCCTTCGCCGTCGCGGGGCTCGAGTATCAGACGTCGAACCTGATCTGCGTTGGGCTTCGAGTCCAGCCCGTCGGCGGCAGAGCCCCTCTTCAGCGAGGGCCGCGGCCGCACGTCGCCCACGTGCTGATGCTCAGTCTTCTGCCACTTGGCTGGGCCTTGCGCCAGGCTGCCAGCGGCCTCGTGGGCCAGGCGCCTGGGCATCGAAGTAGGCACCAGATGGGCGACGCAGCCGTCCTGGACCCGCGCTTGCTCGCAGCTCGTGCTGTCCCAGCGTCAGCACCCAAACGGGCGGCCTTGCCGTTCTGGGGCGCACGTCGCGCGCGGCCGCGAGGGCGACGGCAGCGGCGAGCTTGGCTCGGAAGCGCTGCTCGCCAAGGTGCCTTCTGGCGCCGTCCAGCGCGCGACGACTCGGGCCAGCACCAGCGGCCGCGGCAACTGCCGTCGCAGTGGGCGATCCATGCCCAGGATGATCTCGTCGGCGCCTCCCAGATGCAGAGATCTCCCGAAGCCGGAGTCGCCACAAGGCCTCGGGGGAAGAGGCCGAGCGGGCTTCGGGCCGCAGCAGCGGGGCGCGAGCCCAGAGGCGCGCTGGGGCTCCGCTGCGCGTGCTGCCGCCAAGCCTTCCTCCTCGCAAGGCAGATCGAGGCCGAGTGCCCACGGTCGGCTCGCAATGCCGAGGTCGGCGGTGCCACGTGCCGGGGCGCCCACAGCACGTGTGCCTGCCGTGATCCACCGACTCGTGCTTGGCGAGCCTCTGCTGGGCCCAGCGCGCTCCGACGATGGCGCAGCGGAGGGCGGCCAGCGGGTCCGACGGCTCAGCCCGAAGAGGTCCACCCTGCGGCTCCATCCGTAGTCTTTCGGCTCCCCCCGGGTGGTCTCGCCCGTGAACGCCACGTCGAGGCTCGCCGCCGCCTGCTCCGAACGCGCGGATGATGAATTATCACGGGGTGTGTCCTTTCACGATGATGCTGATGTTGATGCTGATGCTGATGATGATGGTGATGATGATTATGCTTGTGATTATGATGGTGATGATGCTGATGATGATGCTGATCATGATGGCCATGATGGAGTTGCTACTTCGGATGAAGAAGATGACGGTGATTATGCTGCTGATGATGATGATGATGCTAATGATGATTATGATAATGGTGGTGATGCTGATGCTGATGCTGGTGATGCTGATGAGGATGATGATGCTGATAATGATGACGATGATGGTCATGCTGATGCTGGTGATGGATGGTAAAAACTGATGATGGTAATGATGCTTTCTTTCTGAGCGAATCGCCCCCGCCACGGGAACTGGCGCTCCACTCATCCGAACGACAGTCCAAGATACTGAACGGGACGAACCACGTGGAGCACAACCTCCACCAACGCGACTCTCTGGCAGCCAAGACTTAGAGCCTGGCCCTGCACAGCAAGTGAAACATCATTCCCGTCCGGGTCAACTTCGGCATGTGCCCGAAATGGGCATCATCTCTGCGGCCTCGGAGAGTTTCGGAAGGCACACAGCGAGGCCCAGGGCAACCACATTCGGCTCATTCTTACGTGGATCACCTCAGAACCATGGGGGCAGCACGAGACTCGAAGCAACGGGACAGGGTCCAACAGGAAACGCATCGTAAACGCGTCCCCTCCGATCCCTTTCGAACTAGCCTGGAGCCCAACCTCGGACAATCTTCCTGCAAGAGCCGACGGACATGCCCCACCTTAAAGAACAGAAGCCGGTGCTGAGGAGACAGATTGCGACGAGCACGGAAAGGCAATAGATCGAACGGCTTGCGGGGGGTTGGGAAGTGATTGGCCTCACTCAGCTAACGGAAATGAAATGCGAAGTCGAATGCCATGGCCACTGACGAGAAGGCAAGAGTGATCTTCGCCTGCAGGTCATAGGCCCTCGCGCAAATGATGCGCTCAAGAGTGGCCCCCCATGAGTCGATTCTTGAACACTCACGCGCTCAGGCGATGCGCATCTTCCGCTGTGGTGTCGCTGCGAGGCCCCCAGAGCATGGAGAGGCACTGATGTTGGGGCCGATGTCCACCGTGCGTCGTTTTGCCATCCCAGGACTCGCATGAGACGACGACGACGATGCCGCCGACGACGACGACGACGACGCCGACGCCGACGCCGACGCCGACGACGACGACGACGCCGACGCCGACGCCGACGCCGACGACGACGATGACGATGACCCGGCCGCTCCGTGGCTCGGGTGTTCCTGCCTGGGCGGCGCCCATCCGCCCTTGCCGGGGACGCGGCCGGCTGGGCCATGTCTGGAGCATCCGTCCAACACTGAACCGCATCGCATGTCTCAAAAAGACGAGATTCGGCCGGGCATGTCCCCCCTACAGGCGGATTTGGGAAGAGAAATAAAGATAGCCCAACAAATATTCAAACACAGTCGAACACAGTTGAAACATCATTGCCAGACTATGTTTGGACTACTTGTGAATACTCCTTCTGTAAAAGGACATACTCTGCTGAAAGATAACAATTGCCTTATCAATGAGTTCCTTGACCTTGTAAGTCTGACCCGGGACTGTGGCGGCCACCACCACCCCCCAAGCTTTTCCTCTAACATCACCCCTGTTGACTGGAGGTGGGCGACTAGCAGCTCCTCCATCATGGTCTTGGAGAGGGAAGAGCAGGATATCCCTGCGGCCGCGACGCGCGAACGTGCGGATGAGATAACGTGTAATCGCAAGCCACCTGAGGCAAGCTCCCTCGAACCAGCCCCTCGGCTTGAGCCAACATGACTACGGTGACAATGGTGGTGATGATGATGATGATGATGCTGATGCTCATGCTAATGATGATGAGGAGGAGAAGGACGACGATGACGATGACGATGACGATGACGATGATGATGATGATGATGATGCCGATGCTGATGCTGATGCTGCAGATGATGATGTTGATGATGATGATGATGATGATGATGATGATGATGATTATGATGATGATGATGATGATGATGATGATGATGATGATGATGATGATGATGATGATGATGATGATCTGGCTACGCAGTACACAGAAGTCCAGCGGTGCAAGACATTGCACAAGTTAACGTTTTCACTGCTAACGCGTTATACATAACAACGTCGCAGATGCGGCGTTTCCATGGAAACTCAATGCCTCGTCTTCTTCCTCGCAACTTTTGGGGTCACCGTCGTCGCTGGCGCACAACACCTGGCACTGATCACGGCGAGATGTTTGTGAACAGCTAGGTCCTCAACGACCAAGTCGCTGGGCCATGGAATCCAAACACATACGTCCCACGAATCCCACCGGCCCCGGCGTACGAGCTCGTTCTTGCAATCCCTGTTTTCCCCTTGGGGGAGGGGATCCATACCCCCTTCCCTGGGTCTGGGCGGATTCACGACCAGCACGACCGTCCAAGATGGCACGACATGGCTCCAAGATGGCCCGAAAGGGCCAAGATGGCACCCAAGATGGCACATGATAGCCCTAGATGGCTCACGATAGTCTCCAACATGCCTCCAAGAGGCCCTACGACAGCCTAACGACGGCTTCAAGTGGCCTCGGAGCCTCCTGAGGACGCCCCCGAGAGTCGAGCCTTTCAAAAACTGGCAGGAAGCAATGTGTTCGGCATTCTGATATTGTCGCTTCCGACGGGCTTCTGAGGCCTCAAGATGGCCTTAACCTGGCCTAAGAGGGCCCCAAGACGGGCCCAAAAAGGGTTCAAATGCGGCCCCAAGGGTGCCAAAGCGCGCCCCAAGAGCGCCGCAAGAAGGCCCCAAGATGCGATATTGAGGGCTTGAACGGGGGAAGCAAATTCAGGACCCCCCATACTGTGATTGGTGGCCCCGAAGATGGTCCCAAGAGAGCCCGAAGAAGGCCTCAAGAGAACCCCAAAGGCTTCCAACATGCCCCGTACCAACAAGGAAACGAAAGATGGCCCAAGAAAGCTGCCAAGAGGCTCCCAGACCGAAACATCCACGAAGGCATGTTGTTGATTCCTGATCCTGCCGAAGCTGATCCCGAGCTTCGGTTTGACGGCTGACATATCCGTTCCACTGCTTGCTCCCAGATTGCCCTGCTCAACGAAACTCGCATGAGCATCGTTTGTGGATGGGCAGGCGAGGGGGAACACAAAGCCAGAAGAATTGGTCAAGGGCTCTTATCAGGACCAGGTGTCCGCCACAACTCTGCGTCAACACACACTTGCCGACGAGTGTCCTGCCATCGGTCGAAAATGCAACAAGGCCCGTGCCTTCTGAACATCTCTCAATCATGTTGACTAGCATGTGGCGACGCATAGTTATGAGACTGTTCGTCCATATCGGCGCCAACTCAATATCCACCCGCCCATGAAAGTTGAGCTACATCATTCACATCAGTATCGTCACCCTCATCATTGTTACCATGTTGGGGACACTGCCTGCTCACTCTCACCACCATTATGGCCACCACCATCAGCACATACACACAATCCACCACCTCAAAACGGATTGCAAACAATCTGGCGATGAGCCCTATACTGTGATTGTGGGCGGGTGTGTGGGGGGTTGGGTGGGGGGCAGCGTTCATGGGGGAAATGCTCAGGGGAAGAAAGAACGAACTGAAATCGCTACCCTGTTGGCGGCGCTGAGATCGGTCCCCTATCGGCGATGAGTGGGCGAGTGGGGGTCGACGAATCCCACCCCGAGACTGTCCCCTCCCCAGTGTTGCGCCCCCCGATGTTCGGGTCATAGCTCGGCTCTCTGGCGGCCGCTCGGGTCGGCGAGGCGCATCTGCTGGGAGGCATCCCGAGACAGCAAGGCTGCCCAAGAACCCACGAAACCACCTAGAAACCTCGACCCTGGCATGCTTATCCCAAAAAGGACCCCCCCCTAACCCTTTTGGAGGGGACCTGAGTTAGGAAGGCCAAGAACATTCGGGATAGGGGGTCGGTCTCTTCTGCAGATGTGTCAATCCAAACCGCCCAGAGCTCTTCTATCCCTAATGCAAAGACGGGGACCTCAGTGAGGCCACGTCTTCATCGTGTGATTAGGGCTAGGGGTTCCTTTGAGCTCGATAATGGAACCTCCGACGCCCCTCGAGCCTGCCCCCCTGACCGCGGTGGCCCTCACCCTCCACGAACGCACACCAAGGCCTCACCCCTCCGATGCCGCCGATGCGGCGAGAGAGGGGGGGGGGGAAGGCCCGTGGTCAGAGCCCCTCGTGTCAGAAGTGAAGCACCGAGCTACAGGAACACTTCCTCACTCCTCGCCTCCCTCTGCCCCAGGGCGCATCTGGGGAAGCCAAAAGGTACCCATTCCGCTACTCCCCGGACCTCTCCCGGGTCCCGGGGTGCGTTCTGACCAGGATCTCGAGGCGAATCCAGCGGTGCCGACGAGGGCCTCCCAGGAGGCCCAACAAGAGGAAAACGGGCGGAGTGTAGAGGTATGGGTACCGCTTCCTCCTCTGAGTATCTGTACGCCGGTCCAGCCTTCATCCACGCCCTCGGCCCGATCCTCCGTCCACGCCAAACCCCACCCCTTGCGGCAGCTCTGGGTGCACGGCCGCCGCGGGCGAGGCGCTGCGCGGGAAGCGGGCGCCCACCGTAGAGCTCGTGGTAGCGCTCGGGGAAGAGTCCCTCGCGGCGGCTGGGGGACGGCAGGGAGCTTTCGGCGTCGAGCGAGAAGGGGGAAGTGAGAAGGAGAAGTCCTTCTCAGAAGGCTCGGAAGTTCCGCGGCCTTCTGAGAAGTTGTCTACGCCTTCCCCGAATACTCAAAAAACTTCCCAAAGGCGCGAGGGCTTCTGAGAAGTCCCGCCGCCTTCTGAAAAGGCCTTCTCCTTCTTACTTCTCTCACTCGTTCGCCGCCGAAGCTTGGAGTCGGCATCTGCGGCAACTCCTTTGGGAGCGCCTTCCTGGGAACCTCTGTTGACATCCGCGATCCCATCAGAAACGTGAGTTCGACCAGATCTCGTCCAGATTTCGACCAACCCTCTCTTGACCTGTTCGCCCAGATTTCGTCCACATGTCGTCGAAATATCGACCAACTCTGACGAGCTCCCGATGAAATCCCCAGAACCGCAAGGAATTGTGGGAACATCTGAGGCTCCCATGAAGGACTAGACAAACTCATGGGGGCCTTCCACACCATCTTGCTGGCTCTTGCAGATCGACGCTCATCGACGCGTGTCGACGATCTATCGACGCTAGTCTACGCTAAATCGGCGCTATCTCATCGATTGCCAGACGCTAGTGAGTGCTAGTGCACTCTGAAGAGGCTAGTGCACGCCTGTCGGTGCAGCAGGAGGATCTACATGGCTCCCATGATTGGCTACCAGAGTCGGCGGCGAGCCCAGGGGGGGAGTGCGAGGGAGCGGGCTTTCTCAGCAGGCTTAAGTCAGGCGTGTCACCCTACAGCGGGACTTTCGACGAAAAACAAAACATACTCCAGACATACTCGAAAATGGTAAAGAAATACTAAACAAATAGACCCCAGACTATTTTCTGACTATTTTCCAATCTCCCCCCTGTAGAGGGACAGGCCCGACTTAACAGAAGGCGGCGGAGCTTCTCAGAAACCCTCGCGCCTTCAGAGGAGCCTTCTGAGCTTTCTCCGAAGGCACAGGCGGCGGGTCGATCCCCCCTCTGAGAAGGCCCGCCCCCTCTCACTCCCCCCCCCTGGGCTCGCCGCCGAGGGAGATGAGGAGTCAAGTCCTGGAGGCCTCGCGAGGCAACCTCGGACCCTGTGCACGTCGGACTCACACCGGACTCACGTGGGGCCCACGTCGGATCCACGTTGGATTTGCGTCGGATCACCGCCGGACTTCGGTCGGAGCGCAGCCGCGCGAAGCGCTGTCGTGTGTTTGACCAGGCGGACGTGCGAATCAGATAACACAGCTGGTGCGAGGAGCCGCTCGAGGCCTCCAGGATGTTCCATGACGGGAGGGGCTGACTGTACACACCCCGCTGCTCCAGCGGCCAAGGCGCTCGAGGCGTGGACGCTCCGGCTGCCCCGCCAGTGGGCCGCTGGAGCGTCTCTGCACCGGACTCCTTCGCCGATCTTCTCGGCTACCCTGACCAAGCAGCTGCCGCGTGCACATCTGTAATGAGAGGCCTCCTCGATGGGGTCCGAGTAGGCGGGATCGGGGGACTGCGCCGCATCGCCGACGCACCGCCGAAGCAGCGGCGATGCATCGGCGATTTAGCGGCGACGCCCACGTGGAGAAAATCGGGCTCCACATCGAGCCGCATCGCCGATGCAGCGGCGATGCGGCGCGACTCTCCTACCCCGTCCACTCGGGCCCCACCTGGGAGGCCCAGAGCACACCGAGCCCCTCCGAGAGCTGGAGAAGGAGGAGGAGGAGGAGGAGGAGGGGAGGAGGTCGGAGAGGAGGAGGAGAAGGAGGAGGAGGAGGAGGACGACGACGACCAGGAGGAGGAACAGGAAGAGGAGGAGGACGACGAGGAGGATGACGAGGGGGAGGAGGAGGAGGAGGAGGAGGAGGAGGAGGAGGAGGAGGAGGAGGAGGAGGAGGAGGAGGAGGAGGAGGAGGAGGAGGAGTGTCTGCAGCCGTGCCGCCGCCGCCGCCCCGCCGCCGCCCCGCCGCTGCCCCGGCGCCTGGGCCCGCCCGTCGGCGGTCTGGCGGCCACGTGGCCCCCGCCGCCCCGCCGCCGCCCCGCGGGCGTGCCCCGAGGACTCGGAGCAGCCACGGGGCCCGCTGCGGGGGCCGCGAGGGGGCCACACCACACCTACCCTGTAGAGGCGGGCACCTCCCCCGACAAGGAGGGGCGATGTGCTTTGCCTCTCCTTGCCCATCCCTGGACGAATGTTGTAGGTCGGGCATGTCCTCCCCCTCCTCCTTCTCCTCCTCCTCCTCCTCCTCCCACTCCTCTTGCCTATCCCTTGAAGAATTTGTTCCTTGACGAGTTGTCACTTGTCACTTGTCATCCAGCACCCGCCCGTAGGAGGACATGCCCGACCTACACATACACGGCCGGAGGGCACGGGCACCGCCCTGGCACGGGGCCGCGAGCTCTCCTGGGGCCACCGCGCCGCGGCGCGGCCTCCCCGCTCCCCCCCCGTCCCCGCGGGCGTGGCCCAGGTCTCCCACGGGCCGATCTACCGCCGGGACGGGGATGCAGGCTGCTCCCTTCGAGCTTGGGGGGGCAGCCCCCCACCTGGGGTGCCGGGATGGCGGGGATCAGGGTGGTGGTGGAGGTGGGCATCGGGAGCTCAGAGCGATGTGGGCAATCGCCAGTAGGGGGACGGTGGGAGGTGCAATTACTTCGCTTGCGGGAACTACTGCGCGAACTCATCCGCAACCTATCGCAGGAGGGCGCAAATTCTTGCACGGTGCGTGAACTATTGCGTTCGAAGCAAAATGCGATTGCATCCACGCGCAACTACTTCGCCCAGGCCGCCAAACACCTGCCGATGTGCGAAAACAACTGCAAATACTATTGCACCTACTCTGGCCCTCTCATCTGTGCTACACCCACTACTCCGTCTTAGAAAGAAAAACAAAAGGTGGCTAAACAACTCCGGCCTTGCTTTTTCACCCGACGCGAGGATGTCCGGGTCCCTTCTCCCCCCCTCCTCCTGCCTCCTCATCCTCCTTCCTCCATCCAGGGATTGATTTCCGCTGCAAGGGGTGATTCGTAGCTCGTGCCTCAGATGCCACAGGCGGATTCAGAATCTGTTCTGATTGATGGTGCCTGGCCACCACTTTGGAGGATATTGGTAGTGACGGACGAGCATCCAATAGCAACGAGTTCCGAAGAGTCCCACCAGCCCTTTGGGCGACAGATGGTCTAAGGCTAATCTCTTCAGGGTCCTTTTTCGGCCAGTGGGAGGGCCAATTTCCGACACCCCTCACGAGGACCGTCCAGCAGCAACGAGTTCCGAAAAGAGTTTCCTCCTTCCTCCATCCTAGCACAGGCCGCGCGGCCCTGACGAACTCCCGCTCGTCGATGCCCCCGCTGTCGTCGTCGTCGAAGAGCCTGCTCGCGCGGCGAGAGCCAGGAGCCGCGCGCGTTGCGGTGAGGACGGGGGGTGGGGAAAGAGGAGTAGGGAGCGAGGAGGAGTCAGGAGTGAGGCAGGCGGGCGAGTGAGGAGGGGCGAGTGAGGAGGATGATGATGATGATGATGATGAGGAGCATGAGAGAGCAGCGAGGAGTGGAGGAGGAGGAGCCAGGAGTGAGGTGTGAGGAGTCAGAGGGGGAGGTATGATAAATGCTGTTGATGATGATCATGTTCATGATTCATGATGTTGATGATGATGATGAGGATGATGAGGATGCTGAGGATGCTCAGGGTGATGATGTTGATGATGACGATGATGCTGCTGATGATGACGATGAAGATGCTGCTGCTGCTGCTGATGATGATGATGATGATGATGGTGGCGACGATGATGATGATGATGATGATGATGATGATGATGATGTTCATGAGGCTGCTGCTGATGATGATCCTGATGCTGGTAATGCTGTTGCTGATGATGATGCTGATGATGATGCTGATGCTGATGCTGATGCTGCTGATGATGATGATGATGATGATGATGATGATGATGATGATGATGATGTTGAGCAGGATGTTGTTGATGATGATGATGAGGAGGAGGAGGAAGATGAGGAGGATTGGGAGGAGCGAGGAGCGAGGAGCAGGGGAGGAGGAGCAGGAGCAGGAGGAGGATGAAGAGGAGAAGGAGGAGGAGGAGGAGCAGGAGGAGGAGGATGGCAGGACGAGGAGGAGGAGGTCAGGAGGAGGAGGAGGGGGAGGATCGAGGCCAGAGGATCCACATGTTAGACTTGCTCGCTTCTTTTTCCCAACCATCCTGTGGTGCTGGGTCCTCGTTCCGAAGAGACCGTGCCTCGCGTCTCGTTCCTTCCTCCTCCACCTCCCCCATCCTCCTCCCGGCCCTGTCTCTGCCCTCCGCACGTCAACCACATTGGTATACCCCTCACACGCTTCGTGGCCGAATCAGGAGCTCCACCTACGGCCCCAGCGGCAGCGTCCCCGTGGCGCACCCGCGCCCGATCGGCACACCCCTCACACGTTCCGTGGTCCGTGGCCCCACAGGGACCCCCCCCTGAAGGCTCCGGCGGCAGCGTCATCCGCATGGCGTGCTCGCGCTCAATTCGGCACACCCATCACACGATTCGTGCCCCCACATGGACCTCCGCCGAAGGCCCCAGCGGCAGCGTCCTCATGTCACACCCGCACCTAATTAGGCACACCCCTCACACATTTCGTGGCCCCACGGGGACAAACACCAAAGGCCCCAGCGGCAGCGTCCGCATGACGTAACCGCACCCAATTCGGCACACACCTTACACGATTCGTGGCCCCACAAGGATTCCAGCGAAGGCCCCAGCGGCAACGTCCGCATGGCGCAACCGCACCTCATTCGGCACACCCGTCACACGATTCGTGGCCCAATGAGGAGCTCCAGCGAAGACGTTCCTCTGAAATACGGTTGTGCCCACGACTGCATATGGTTGAGCCGGCCCTTCGAAAATATAATTTCATGCCTCTGTGGAGGGCCTCTGAAGAACTCTAGGAGACATCCAGAGACCTCTGGGCAGGGGACTCGCCCGAGCCCAGATCTCCGACGATTTGATTGTTGCAGCATGGCGCTGCTCCTCAATTCCAGCATCTGGGAGCAATAGTCGGCCCCCGAAGCAAGGAAAAACGGATCCGGGATAACAACTGCAGCCGAAACTATGATCAAGGTAATCAGAGTGAAAAGAAGCTGGGCCAGCTTCTCAAACATCTCTTAGAACGAACCTGGGCGAATATATATACATATATCTATATATAGATATATATAGATTGTGGGCGAACGTGCTCAGGAAACTGGGACAACTTTCCAGCACGTTGCTTAAGAAACACTGGCCCAACTATTCGAAAGGAGGCTTCTTAATCAGATACTCGACGGTACTCCCAGCAGGCATGGCGTCGGGACCTCTGGGGCCGCGGATTGAACAAGAAACGCGTTGTCAGATAACTGGGGGCTCGAGAGAAGCCTCGAGGCGGCTGGCGTTTTTTCCCGAGCCTGGGCCTGCTTATTGGGGCCGGCGCATTCCAGGCTGGTGGGCCGTCAACATCGGGGACTCACTGACCCGAGTCAATGCAAACATGGTCTGTCAGGCTTTGCAAGATCCTGTCAGATCCTGCCGCATCCTAAGCACAAGTCAAGGATCCTGCCAGATCCTGCGGGATACCCCAAGATCCTGCGCTCTGGCTGACACCGTTTGCATTGACCTCCGTCTCTTGAGCTCCGACAACTCGGCTACACGTAAGAATGGCCCTATATACAAAAGTGACCTTTGGTGCACGGCTTCACGGGTGACGCGGGGTGGCCAAACCCAGGCGCGCAAGCCGCTGCTACCGCTTCGAGTTCAGCGATCGCGGGACCCCATAGTGCCCGCACCAAATGCCACTCCGGCGAAAGACCACTCTTACGTTCAGGTCGGGCATGTCCCCCTACAGTCGGAGTTCGGACGAACAAGTTGAAACAAAGTAGCCAGACAACTACGCAAACATGGTTCAAAGATGCTCGACAATTCGTCCATATATTATGTTGTTGCAAATGTTTTAATGCTCGACGTAATCTCACGTGCAGCCGAGTAGCAGAAATAATGCCACCGGCTGGGCAAGAGGAAGGCCCTGGGAGAAGGGTGCCGAGAAACCCATGGATAGGGGAATGAGGAGGAGGAGGAGGAGGAGGAGGAGGAGGAGGAGGAGGAGAAGGAGGACAAGAAGGAGGAGGACGAGGAGGAGAAG